CTTCCACCATGCTGATTTTCGGTTAAATGTAGAAGTCTTTGCGTAAGGACTGGGCAAAAACAGAAGACCATTTTCAACAGACATTAAAAAAAGAAAACAAAAAAACATTGGCATAACAAAACTACAAAATAGTAATTTAATGCCACCAACTTAAAATATCTGTCAATACGCCGTGTTTTATTTAGTTTTCCATGGAAACTGAAACCGAATAGTCCCAGTGAAAACATTTTTAATCTCATTTATAAAGAAATCTGTCCCAAACAAACACAGCAGGAGACTTTTTTTAGACTGCAGGAAAATTTTAAATTTCCATCAATATTAAGTTCACAATAGCAATTATAAGCATGGAAGGCCAAATCATTTTAAATGCTCTTATTTTTCCATGTGCAACTGTAGGGTTTACAATGGTACTAAAAGTTGAGAATAATAAACATATTTTTAAGTTTCAGATTTTTCTAGATCCCCTTCATGACTATTTTTTGTTACACTTCTCACAACCTGAATTCTCTGAAATTGTCCATGTTCTATTAGTGTACACATGTCACAAATTCGAGCATTTTTTTAAAAGTGACTATGTGATGATAAAAAATTAAAGTGAAATTAAAGGATATATTTTTGGTTAAAAAGGTGTTATACTTACCCACTCTGTGAGTGGGGTGGTATACTAGGGAGTTCACTCCCTAATGGGCAGGTGGGAAACTAAAAACCATTAAAGTAGATTTTCACACTTCGGTGCCTGTGCACTCAACTTCTTCGCACCTAGAACCAATGGACACCAATGTTCCACTCTCACCCTCCCATGGGTGAGAGTGGAGCGCAGAGTATGCCCCATACCTTTCCAATCTCCCGTGTCCCTCCTTGGACACAAACACTTGTTCAATACGTCACATTGTAGTATGAATTATCTTTGACATAAAGAATCACACTACAGGAAGCTGCCACTTTATACTAATACAAGGCATTGCTTTCGTGACTACCCAGGCCAGGTCCCTTGGCTACTCCTGTGCTACAGCAGGTCCCAATATGAGAATCCCACCTTGCGTTAAGGGACATAAAGCGTACCTGTCTTCCCACCAAAGTCACCATCTCCCGTCACAGTCGCCCACTGCTTCCTCAGATTGGCCTCACTTGAGATTGTATCCTCTATGATTAAAATATGTTCTTCAAATGTCCTCACAGCAGCTCAAAGCTGTCAAACCTGGAGGGGTAAATGGCTTTAAAGCCAGCCATAGATGGTTCTGATGAATCTTGGCCTGTTCAGCAGGGACTGGCCGAGATTCAAACCATGTATGGGCAGGCTGAATGTGCCCAAGTTGATTGATCAACTTGGGTACAACCAGCCTGTCGGGTTTTACATGCTATTATAGCCACTATCAGTAATCACTGTGTTCTTCCGGTGGGGAAGGCTCCCCCACCTCCCTGCTGGGAGAACACAATGGCTCTGTGGGAAGGGCCTGTGGTTGCAAGAAAGAAAATCGCACCATTTATGGCTGGCTTAACTCCCAATGTAAGGTTCTGATGATACACCAAGGTTACACTTATTCGGTAATATGCACTTCTATTAATAAAAGATTCTGACCACTTCTTGCTTGATTTAAGTTCCTTGTGCTGAAGCAATTGAAAATGCAGATGGTCCTCTCAATCTTTACATACATGTACAGTTAATTCACATAATTTGGCTGCACTGCTGAACATAAGGCTGTCAGTGGTTTTTTCCAAAAGATAAGGTGCATAGCAACATAGTGTGGCCCATACCTGTGATGGATAATGTCCAGAGCAACAAGTCCATAGAAAGTAGAGCAGCAGCAGAGAAGAAATAACATTGCAGCAATCTGTCATGACCAACGAACCCCTAGGGCAGTGGTGGGCAACCTTTTTTTTTCAACTGAGCCAAATCTCGCCAAAACCACGATTGAAATTTATTTTGAGAGCCACATTTTTAAAACTGAAAATACATCTCCCATATAGTAATTCATCCCCCATAGTAATTCATCCCCCATATAGTAATTCATCCCCCATATAGTAATTCATCCCCCATAGTAATTCATCCCCCATAGTAATTCATCCCCCATATAGTAATTCTTCCCCCATAGTAATTCATCCCCCATATAGTAATTCATCCCCCATAGTAATTCATCCCCCATATAGTAATTCATCCCCCGTATAGTAATTCATCCCCCCATATAGTAATTCATCCCCCATAGTAATTCATCCCCCATAGTAATTCATCCCCCCATATAGTAATTCATCCCCCATAGTAATTCATCCCCCATATAGTAATTCATCCCCCATATAGTAATTCATCCCCCATATAGTAATTCATCCCCCATAGTAATTCATCCCCCATATAGTAATTCATCTCCCATATAGTAATTCATCCCCCATATAGTAATTCATCTAGTAAGTCCCCCATATAGTAAGTCCCCCATATAGTAAGTCCCCCCCCCCCCATATAGTAATTCATCCCCCATATAGTAAGTCCCCCCCCATATAGTAAGTCCCCCCCATATAGTAAGTCCCCCATATAGTAATTCATCCCCCATATAGTAAGTCCCCCCTGTGTCAATTCACTTACCTTTGCTCCGCACGTTCCTCTCGTCGTGCTTCCCGCGCCGTTCTGGTCTTCAGGGCGGACTGTGAGAGGAGAGGAGTTCGTCACGCTGCCCCGCCTACATCCTGGCTGCCCCGCCTACATCCTGACAGCTGCAGAGTCCTGACTTTTGGGGCGGCCGCCCGAGAGGAGGGAGGGGAGCGGGCGGCGAGAGGAGGGAGGGGAGCGGGCGGCCGTCCGAGAGGAGGGAGGGGAGGGGAGGTGAGGGGGCGGGCCGCCCGGCACACGCCCGTCCGAGAGGAGGGAGGGAGGGAGGGGAGGGAGAGGAGGGAGGGGAGCGGGCGCCCGGCACACAGAAGAGCCGCATTTAAGCTTGTAAAGAGCCGCATGTGGCTCGCGAGCCGCGGCTTGCCGACCACTGCCCTAGGGGGTCACACACACACTGGCTGGGTCCTCCGCAGATGTATATGGATGTAGCACCCTCCTACTTTAGGTGCTGGTGGGTTTAGGCAAATTTAGTTTTGTAGCCAGGGGAGAAGGTTGATAGCTTTTGGCTGTTCTGGGTTTCACAGGCTGCAAGTTTAATTGCTTCTCCCTGCATTTCAGAACTCTCTGGGCTGTTCTGGAACATAGGTGTGGAGTAATCAAATGAGCAGCATAAATGTTTATGCTGCTTCAACCAGTCCCTGGTCAGGAGAGTGACCAGCAAGGGGCGAAGTGTGCATAAATGGCCTGGGATCTAGAACAATGGGGAACTTTGCCTGGTGGAGAGAGACCTGCCTGGAGCAATTGCCCCTTCAGCTGGAGCCTGCAGTTGCTTCAACATGGTCCCAGCTCAGGGAGAGCCGAGGGGGCCGATTACTAAAGTTCAAAGAACAGTCTGGGGGTAAACTCTACTGAATATCTGGCTGGGAGGCTCACTTTTTACAGGGTCCGGCTGGTACTGGAAGGAGGCATCCATATATACAGGGATACAGTGAGTAAAGGCCTGAGAGATCCGGGAGAGACTGTTGCTATTTTGACCTGTTTTCTGTGGGAGACTGTTCCAGAGTTTGCTAGCTTAAGGCACTTTCCATTGTGGGATCCCCTGAAATGGTACATCAACATCCTCTTATATTAGAAGCCTACTTTGAAGAAGTTAGTACTAATAGAGAGTGTCCTTAGTTCAAGTTGCACTAGTTCTGGAGTATCCCAAGGGTTACCCCATTCCACCTCTTTAACCTTTCTAGCAGTATGATTATGTCCATATTTCTGTGCTCAAAGCGGTACATTTTTTTGCATGAAAATATGTATTTTTTTTATTGTAGGCCTGTAATTTTTAGGAATAACTCACTGAAATCTGTCCGAACAAGAGTCTAGTAAACATCCCGGGTAGGATAAAACTTGAAACACAAATTCATAAATTATAATTTAATAAATAATCATAAAAAAAATAATATAATAAATTTAATTCAACAATATAATCAAACCAAAAACACTGAAATTTGAAATATAGCACCAATTTCGCACATCACTGAGCAAAGTCGCAAAATTGTTTTCAGTGTCTGATGACGAATTTCCCCACAAATCATTATCACTCAATTCTGCAAGTAGTTCTGATTTACTAAAATAATAAAAATATATGCAGCGCTAAAAAAGGATAGTCAATGACTCATATATACATCATGCGTCTAATAAAATTAAAATTAAAAATGGGTGATAGCTAAAGTGCTTAAAGTGAAAATAACGTCCTCAGGTGATATATCAATCATCACAGTAATAAGTGCGAATGCTGTCGACTCCGTGCTCATAGGTGGGTATACTATATGCACTCACCACAAAGCGCATAATATGCGCATTTGAGTTGTCAGACCACTCCTGGTACTAGAAGGCTGAGGCAATATGGGTCATCTAGCAGGCTGTCACTCTGAGGGAGATGCTCCTTCCTCTAACCAGCAGGGGGTCACCAGGCATCCAGCAACGGTTGTCATACAGCTAGTCAGGACTCCTCAGAGCAGGGCGCTCAAAATAGATATCCACCTTGAAAGGGGGGGCTCAACCATACAGCCCACCCCAAAAAAGCACTGATAGTGTAGTATGTACAGACGTTTTTATTTGAACACAATTCAGTACACTCACATAGGGTAGCCCAGAAACAAAGATGGCCGCCAGCCTCCACGAGGTGCGGGACGGCTAGGCTCCACCTTGAAGCATTTCGTGCGGACGAGCACGTTATCAAAGGGGCAAAGTCGCAAAATCGTTTTCAGTGTCTGATGACGAATTTCCCCACGAATCATTATCACTCAATTCTGCAAGAAGTTCTGATTTACTATCGCTGTTCTCTAGCTGGTCTAAAACTGCTTTTGACCTAAAGGGACGCTTTTTGGACGCCATGGACTTTTCTAAGTTTCCAGGCAGAAAGAACAGTAAAAATGCTGGCAGGGCACAGGACAAAGCACTCGGGACAAAGTGTATGTGAAATGGTTTGATACAGTAATGTTTTACTATGTGATTTTAGTGAACGTGAATGTCACTTTTTGTCATTTTCAAATTTCCCTCCATTCCGTCCCCGTACGTCCTGACGCTCACAGGGGACGGAACCCAGATGACAGATGCCGGCATCCGCTGGATTACATTGCCGGGGACACTGCAGGAGGGACATCGCGGGAGCGCAGGACAAGGTAAGTGATCGGGGGATCGTGGAGCAGCGCCACATGCTAAGCCCGAGTGTAGCTTGGGATTACCGCTTGTGGTACTGAAACTTTACCCTGAGCTACACTCGGGAATACCGCCAGGGAGGCTACACAGTAAACCAAAAAAAAGAGATGTCTGCTTGGCTATTGAGTGGAGAGCCTGAGAAACTGCTGTGTGCCTGGCTGCCATGCATCTAGTAGGGAAAGGAATCTGGGACAAACAGTGGGACCAGCTTGGTGTCTGTGTTACGTGTACCCTAAAACGGAGAGGATGTGACACAGTTGCAGAGGAAGAAGTCACACATGACCTGATCCCTGTAGCAAACAGCCAAGTAATAATGAAAGAAACATGACACCCTAATTTAGTAACATGGCGTATTAAGCTAAAGGTAACAGCAACAATTAGCACCGGCTTATATGTGCAATCATATTGTCCATATTACACGTCCCTTACCCTCCCTTTCCTTGCTGTCACTGTCCTATCCTCCCACCTCTACCTTCTCAACATGTTGGGTGCTTCGTAGACAACCATGTGCGTGCTTTCCTGGGCCGGGCTCCCACTACTCTCACTACTCTCTCTGTCTCATCTGAGACCAGGGAGTTAGAGGAGCATTGCTGTAGCTGGGACAGTGAGTTGAACTCGGGAAGTGTTCAGGGGCAGAAGGGGGATAGAACAAGTAGTGGGGCATTTTTTACCTAGAATGGTGAGCTTTAGTGAATGTGGTGAAATTTCACTTTGAAAAGAGTACCCAATCACATGCAAGAAAAATAAAAAAACAGCCTGGTGTCCATTTTTCATTCATACCTAGCATGGAGATGATTAGCATGAATATTCAAAGGAGCAGAGAAGAAACAATGAAAAAGCGATAGCTGTTTTAAACCGCCTAAAACTTGTGTCATAGAAACATAGAAAAGTGACGGGAAAAAAAGACCGAATGGTCCATCAAGTCTGTTCTTTTTTATTTCTTTGGGGGGGAGGGGTCTGAGTACAGATCTATGCTTGTCCCAAGCATGGTTGAAGATGTTTACTGTTGATTGGCTCGCTACTAGAGATGAGCGAAGTATTCAAAAATTCGATTCGGCTGATTCGGCGAATTCGCGGGAATAAATTCGATTCGAGTCGAATATATTCGCTGCGAATTTAACTTATAAAAAGGGTGTTTCTAGGCTTCAGAGAGCCTTTATATTAGTGCAGAACACTGTACCTTTAATTTAAATGCCCTTGGAGTCTGCTGGGGAAGAGAAATAATACTGTCAGTCAGTATGACATGCAGATGAGTGCCGTCGATCTTAGAATCACCGCACACTTCACTCATTTGGGCAGTCACGGGGCCAAAACCAGAGTGTGGAACCACAGTGTGGCGGTGGAGGCAAGCAGCAATGGGAGGCCGTACAGTGACCCATGACACGTACTCTGGACCTGGCAAGCAGCATGAAAGAGGCGTACAGGCCCATGGCAATATTACGATTAATGGGCCGGGCAGCAGCAAATGGGAGGCCGTAAATCTGCCACACCCTAATGACAAAATGGAACCCACCACAGTGTACGGGCCTGGCAGCATAAAGCAACAGCATGAGGAGTCGGTACGGGGCCCATGGCAGATTACGGCCTGGCATCAGCAAAGGGAGGCCCTAATCTGCCAGCACCTATGACAAAATGGAACCCACCACAGTGTGAGGAGACCGGAAAGTGGCACATGGCAGAGTGTGGCGATGGAGACGCACAATGGGAGGAACCGTACAGGACCATGACACACCACTGGACCTGGCATCAGCATGAGGAGGCGGTTACAGGGCCCATGACAGAGATAGGAGTCGGTAGGGGGGCCCAGGGCAGATTAGGGGCCCGGGCAGAAGCAATGGGGGCCCGTAATCTGCCGCACCCTATACAAAAGGGAACCCACCAGCAGTGTGAGGAGACCTAAAAGTGGCACTGGCAGAGTGGGGCGTGGAGACAGAGCAATGGGAGGCGTACGGGCCCCTGACACACTCTGGCCCCTGGCAGCAGCATGAGGAGGCGGAAAGGGGGGCCCATGCAGATTACGGCCTGGCAGAAAGCATGAGGAGTCGGTACGGGGGGCCCATGGCAGATTGGGGGCCCGGCAGATGACGACGGGGCTCCCAAAGGCGATCACCTCACCACATCTTTAGGGTTCCGCCTCATACTACCCCCCTCGTGCTGTGGCAGGAACAGACCTGTCTCTAAACCGGTACCGACCACTCTCCTCGCCAGTACTTCTTCGCCTGCTGCTGAAGAGGGGGATGTCCCCCCCCGTTCCTACCCCCCTCTTTAGCTTTTCCTCACTTACGTGGGTGACCCCAAGCAGCGATACTCCTTTGGGAGGGAACACCAAAGGGACAGGGGCGGGTAGGGGACAGATTTCAGTGGGCTTCCCCCCAACTAACGGTTGTGTCTGACGACCCCCCCAAACCGTTGGCTGTAGGTGTCAGAGGGGACCTGGGAAAGGAAGACGACCGACCCCAACCCATTTCGGTAGAACACCGTGGTGCCCGGGACACGGCCCGGTCATTTGGTCCTCGAAATTCCTTGCGCCACTTCTGGTTTCCCGAAAATTGTCCCCCTCCATTCTGGGGTTGTCCCCGACATCCCCTTTTAATTAACATTCTGTGTCCCTAGTAACAATTCTGTGTCCCCCATAACAATTCTTGTCCCTGAGTAACAATTTTTGGCCCCCAGTAACATTTGTGTCCCTCATAACAATTCTGGTCTTCCCTGGAAAAAATTCTGTGTCCTCGTAACAAATTTGTGTCCCCCAAACAATTTTGGTCCCTATAAAAAATTTTTTTTGTCCCTATAACAATTCTGGTCCCCGAGTAACAATTCGTGTCCCTGAGTAACAATTCTTGTCCCCATAACAAATTTTGTGTCCCTAGTAACAATTTTGTGTCCCTGAGAAAAAATTCTTGTTTTTCCCTGATAACAATTCTGTGTCCCTGATAACAATTCTGTTCCCTCATAACAATTCGTGTCCCCAGTAACAATTCTGTGTTCCCCGTAACAATTCGGTCCCCCAGTAACAACTGTGTCCCTGAGAACAATTCTTTTTCCCCCAGAACAATTCTGTGTCCCTTCATAAAATTCGGTCCCTCAGTAACAATTCTGTTTGTCCCTGAGAACAATTCTGTGCCCCGAGTAAAATTTTGTGTTCCTGAGTAACAAAATTTTGTGTCCCCAGTAACAATTCTGTGTCCCCAGTAACAATTCTGGTCCCTGTAACAATTCTGTGTCCCCTGAGTAACATTTGTGTCCCTCAGTAACAATTCTGTGTCCCTCAGTAACAATTCTGTGTCGTTCCTGAGTAAACAATTCCAGTGTCCCTGAGTAACAATCTGTTCCCCTCATTTCAGTAACAATTCTGTCCGGTCCCTTCAGTAACAGCTGTGTCTGTTCCCTGAAGTAAACAATTCTGTGTCCCTGAAAACAATTCTTTCTCCTGAGTTACGATTCTGTGTCCCTAAGTAACGATTCTGTGGCCCTAAGATAGTCCCTCTCTGGCCTAACTCCACTCGTCCCTAATACAGACAGGTTCCTTTCTCTCTTGAATGACCGGAGCTAAGGAGAATTTTAATGGCCGAATTTATAGCTCCACCATTACACAGTGCTAGCTGGGCTGCTGCTGCTTGGCTAATCGATCACATGTCATGAATGAATGCATTATGGAGTCAACGCGCCTTGTCTGCCGCCGGCCTTCCCAGAGATCCCCGCTCCGTCGCCACACATGTCCGCCGCCATCTTTTGGGAAAAATTCGATTCGTGCATCAACGTTGGCTAATTTTTCGGATAGCGCGCGAATCGAATCTTTCCCATATTTCGAAACGAATTCCACTTCGCCATGTTCGATTCGCTCAATCACTACTCGCTACCTCTGCTGGCAAATTTATTCCAAGGGATCAAGCAACTCTTTTCCCCGGAAAAATTCTTTTGAATTGTTTTGAAAACTTTCCCCTAGTTTAATTCCTGTCCCCCGGGGACGATTTTGGGTTTTTTGTTAAAATTTGTCCCTGAACATTTCCCCCATTTATGCTCCCCTTTCCCTTCTTCTCCGACTGAAATGTTAAATTCCTAAGTCCCCTCCTGTTGGTTTTACCCCTGACCTTCAAATTTTTGTACCCGTCCTCTGGGTTGGATCCCGTGGGCCCAAAATGGCCATTTTAAATGAGGGCAACAAAAGACTTTTTGGGGGTCGGCCCCCTTTTTCCATTTGGGACCCCCTTGATGCCCGAAATTCTATTTGCTTCCCTGCCTGGATTTTGGGCCCCTTTTATTATTTTTATTATTTTTAATTTTTTTTAAATATTTTTAATAGCCCAAAGGGTTTTTCTTAGTGCTGTACATTGAATGGGGCAAACAGAGACAATAAGTTCAAAAACAAACTGAGGGGTTAACCCTGCCTTTTCAGTTTCGTCTAGAGGGAGGGATGGTGATACAGGGGGAGATGGCTGTGGGATGGAATGGAGTCGAGGAGTGGAGGGACGGTCTGTTAGGTGAGGGTGAGTAGACTTCCCCTGAAGAGATCGGGTTTTTCAGGTGCCCTAAAGGTGAGGAGGGTAGGGACAAATCTGAATGTATGGGAAGTGAGTTCCCCGAGGATAGGTGAAGCACTGGAGAAGTCCCTGCAGTCGGGCGTGGGGAGTGGAGACCAGGGGAGCTAGAGAAAGCGGTCTTGCGAGGCCGAAGATATACGGTTAGGGTGGTATTTGGTTATCAGGTCGTGAGGTAGTTTGGGCAAGCGTATGAAAGGCTTTGTATGTCAGGTGTTAGTAGTTTGAATTTGATGCATTGGGCAATCAAGACCATGGAGGGAATGACAGAGGGGGGTGGCAGAAGTGGATCGGTTGTAAGTTGGATGAGTCTGGCCGCTGAGTTTCAGATAGACTGGAGCGGTATAGCTTGTTTTGGGGTAGGCCGTGAGAAGGAGTTGCCTGTCTTCCAGGCTGAGATAATAAGGGAGTAGAAACGAGTTGTTTAGGTAGTGAAATCCTTTTGCTTTGTAGTGCTGGCCAACATTGTACCCTCAATGTTGTAATCTCTCAAGGGATTATTTTTCCCTAGGTGCATTATTTTACGTTTAGAAACATGGAACTGCAATTT